AGGCTACCCAGAAGAGCGGGGCCATCGCAGGCCCACCGTAGGACAAGTCAAACCCACCGGCCTCTTCTTCCCTTGGATTTCGTTACAGCTTTTACCCACGGATACGCTTCAGGGGTACCCTGTGGTGCTACCCTGTGCCCCCAACTGCTCGCTTCATCCTATCTGGACAGAGCTACGCTTGCCAAGTGTCAAGTGTGAACTGTTTAGGAAGATCAAACACAGGGACCCCCTACTCCTAGGTAACTGCTTCTGGCTGAGAAATACTGCTCCAGATTTTGCAGGAAATTAGTGCAAGAGTTACGTTTCCATCTGCCCCGCGACATCTTGTTACCCTGCAGGGATCCCAGCTCGGCGCCTCCCCCAGCCCCTCTGGTTGCGCGTGCAAGGCAGCAGCACGCTGCTCAAGAGGAGCCGACACGCCAGTGCCACCAGCCCTGGGGCGAGAGCGCTGGCAGGCGCCGAGCAGCACCGGGTAAGCTCCCACGGGCATGCAGCATTCCTCCCCCTTGGCAACCTGCTAACCCTCCTGTGGCCACCCGTGCCACTCCGGGGAAGGAGGGTCTGCCACCAGGGCCACCCTGGTGCCACAGAAACAGCTGGAAGGGACCTGTTCTCTCCCAGCCACTGCAAGCTCTTGAGGAGCCATGCTCCTTCTATCCCTCCCCCACATCACTATTGATTTCCATTCCATACAGGATCCAAATACGTGTGCATGCCTGTGGCAGGAGGAAGGGGGTGGTGATAAGGCAGGGAAGATATCTAGATTAGCTATGTAATCCTCTCAAGCCCTCACGCCTGGCAATTAGCTGTACACACCGATCCATACCTGCTGCGGCACACCAGACACCGCTCTCCCTTGTCGGTCAAAAGCTCATGGAATGCCTTCAGCACCAAGGAAAACATGTTGTGTTATGCTGCAGAACTGATGAAGACCCTCAAATGTCATCTTTGTTTGTGGACAAGCCTGAGCAGATCATTCTGCTGGCAGTGTCCTTTGCTTGCCTTAATTTCGGCCCCAACTGAGAGCTCACAGGTGGCCTGGGTTAGGCAGAGGAAAGCTTCACTCCTGTTGCTGCTTCTAAATTTCCCCCACTGCCCAAGGTCCAGAATTTAAGGAGGCAACCCTACCACCTCAAGCTGTACTTTTGCTGTGACTGAGGGTGTGGGGTCTCCATGCAAAACTTGGTGTATGTTGGTAGGCGAGGAAGGGAAGAGGGCAAGCAGCTCCTGGCACCACAGGGGAGAATGCAAAGCAAGGGTTAATAATCTGGTTGGTTTGGGGATTACTTTCCTTCAGTAAAGCCCCACCTGCACTGAGAAATAAGGATGGTTAAAGACAGGTTTTTTAAATGAAAGGCAGCTAAAAGATGACTAATTGTGTAACTAAATCCAAAAAGAAGTCACTTTGCTGAATTGGTCGGTGAAGTCACTTCAAGCTCCTCAAGGGGTGAGCAGAACTTGTGCTGTTGTCTAAAGAAAAGCAGTCTGTGACAATATACCTTTAATCCTTATGCAAACATTTACGCCTTGTATTAAATGAGAAGGAAGGCACTTTCAGTTGTTGCACCATCAAGAAATACAGGGTGAAGCACAGCAGTCTCCTGCAATTGTATCATCACAACATTCTGGGAAAAGGGAGGACGAGCCATTCCTAGTTCACATACTTGCAGTTTTTCAGAAGGGCAGTTTGCTACCGATTCAGCTGCTGGCAGAAGGCAAGAGGGGAGCCAGAGAGTTAAGTAAGATGGCATGGCAGTTGTTTCACAGTAGTAGTAATAAATCCTTCGATTACAACACCATCCTTGTTGGTACATCAATGACTGGCTGGAATGATTATGCTGGTAGAAATGCATCTCCCAAAGCAACTGAGGGAGTTCAAGCAGCCAGTGGGAAAGGGCACAGGAGAAACCAAAAGGAACTAACGTAGAAGAAAGGGGAAAAGAGAAACAGACAGAAGAGGCAAAAATTGGAAATTAGGTCAGCTTTCCGATTCAGGGCCGGAAAGTCCCCTTGCTTGCCGCGGGCCCCGTTAGTCGCACACCCAGCCAGCCCGGCACGCCTGTTTGAGGCAGTCACCGTGCACCCTCCCAGGCATTTTTAGCCTGGGGCTCTAGCCTCGCCAGCACAGTGCTGTTCAGGGCACTTCTCTGAACCCCCTCCCATCGGCGAGCACTCCTCCAAAACCGCAGGCCCTCTTCCCTCGACTGCTGCAGATGCAGAGCGACGAGTGCCAGGAACACATCCACGCTGCCTGCCCCTGCTGTGCCCCATCGCCCCTCCGCCCTCAGCTAAAGCCACTTCGGGGAGCCGGGGAAGGCAGGCTCCCGCTAATGAGCTCCTTCTCCTCTCTCCACCCACCCAGTCCCAAAACACCCCAAGGAGCATCTGGTTATTAGGACAGCTAATTTAAGTGGAGAAATTCAAGTGACCTCATTAAGAGAAAGACAAAAAAGAGGGATAGGGATGGTAAAACGACAAGGCGGCACCCAGCAGCCAAAGTCATCATTTGCTCATTAAGCGAAAATTAGCTGGAGCATCAGAGGAGCGAACCCTGACGGCCCGAGGGGCGGCGATGCTGGGGACACGGAGGCACCCAAAGAGCACGGAGAGCCCGGTGCGTGGCGAGGGCAGAGAGCGCAGGTGCCATGT